GTCATCTGAGTGGCATAAAGAGGAAAAAGTAGGCTGACTTCAAAAGTTTCCACAGCAGGGCACCTGGGTGGCTGAGTCCCTTAAGCGGCTGACTCTTGATTTTGGCTCAGGTCATGATCTCAGGGTCTTGAGATCGAGCGCCAAGTTGGGCTCCATGCTAGGCATGGAGTCTGCTTGCCCCTCTCCCTCGTATCCTCCCTCCCCCACCCTCTCTCTCTCTTTTTCTCTCTCCCTCTCTCAAATAAATATATACAATCTTAAAAAAAAGTTTCTACATTATTAATCAGAAGGCAGTTAAGCAATAGCCACAAAGTTCTGAGAAAATGAAAATGTGACTGGAGAATACTATACCCAGCCAGTTTGTGATTCAAATATAAAGGCAACAAACATTCTCAAGCACATAAGAACTCAAAAATCACAGAAGCAGTGAGTCTGCAACTTAAACATCAATTTGATAACAAAATTCAGCCAACAAAAAATGGAATCAAAATAAGGCATTCATGAATATAGAAGCATGGCAAAGTGACTGGTGGTGAAACTGAAGTCCTTTAAATCTAGAGCTAAGACTATAAAACTATGAAAAGTATGGTTACAGCACATATAACAAATGATATAAACCTTGACTCTATAAAAATATTTAATTATGAAAAATTTTGAATTGAGGGAAAAGTAGTAGAAGTACATAACTGCTAATTTCCTCAGCTTTTACAGAAGTGAATAAACTGACGCTTTCTAAAAATGGAATAAATAGCTAAAGAGGAAAAAAATAACAATTTCAACCTCAAAGATTTTTTTTGTAATCATCCTTCTTGACTATGGAAGACTCTTTTAGGAAATGATCTCTCTTATATTTATCCAAAGTTCAGGAAAGTTCTTTGCATTCACTTTAGTTTCTTTTTCATTTGTTAAATTCAAGTAAAATAAAATTGAAAACACTTAATGAAAAAGCACATATAATATAATCCTACCTTTATAAAATTACTTCTACATATACCTTTGTATCTTTATATGTGTGTACACATATACATACATATCATGAATGTGTACATATCATGTAACATACAAAAAAAGAGAGAATAGTGTAATTTCTGGAATGAAGTTCACCTAATATTAATTACGGGTATTTATAGGTGGCGGGATTTTAAATAGTATTTCACATTTTCTTTGTACTTTTACGTATTGCTGGAATTTTTTTTTTTTTTACAATGAGTATGTCTCAGTTGAAAAGCGATAATTTCTAAACTTACTGTGGTACTTGCAGAAATAGAGATTGATGGAATAGAATTAATAGTCCAGAAATAAACTCTTACATTTAAGGTCAACTGATTTTCAACAAGGATGCCAAGACAATTCAATGGAGGGAAAGAATAATCTTGCAACAAATGGTCACAAGACAACTAAATATTCACATGCAAAAGGATGGAGTTAGATCCCTACCTCACACCATATACAAAAATTAACTCAAATGGATAAGAGACCTAAATGTAAGAGCTAAAGCTATAAAACACTTAGAAGAAAACCGGAGTAAATCTTCATAACTTTCAATTAGGCAATGGTTTCTTACATATGATAGCTAATATATAAGCAACCAAAGATAAAAAAAGATAAATTGAACTTTATCAAAATTAAAAACTTTTGTGCTACAAAGGACATTATCAAGAAAGTGAAAAGATAACCCATAAAATGAGAAAAAATATTTGCAAATCATATATTTGATAAGGGACCTGAATCTGGAATATATAAAGTACTCTTACAACTCAAAAATAAAAGACAACTCAATTAAAAAATTGGCAAAGAATCTAAATGGACATTTCTCCAAAGAAGATATAAAAAAGCAAAGAGCCAATAAGCACATGAAGAACTGCTCAACATCCGGGCACCCGGCTGGCTCGGTAGGTCAGTAGAACATGCATCTCTTTGATCTCAGGGTCATGAGTTCAAGAGTTGAGTGTGGAGCCTACTTAAAAAAAATGCTCCACATCATTAACTATCAGAGAAATGCAAATTAAAACCACAGTGAGATACCACTTCACACCCACTAGGATGGTTATTATTTAAAAAACAGAACAACTGTTGGTAAGGATGTGAAGAAATAGGAACACTTGTGCACTGCTGGTGAGAATGTGAAATGGTACAGCCACTGTGGAAAACAGTATGGCAGTTCCTCAAATATAATTAAAAGACAGGAAGGCAGGAACTCATACAGGTATTTGTACACTAATATTCATAGCGGCATTATCGACAAGAGCCAGAATGCGTAAATAACCCAAGCATCCATCAACGGATGAATGGATAAACAAAATATGGCATATACAGACAATGAAATATTCAGTCTTTCTTTTCTTATTAATACAGTATTTATTTATCTTCCCTCTGTCAAACCCTGAGCCAGCCACTTTCCCCAGGCTGCTTGGGGAGGTATAGGAAAAGGAACATACAGGGCAGACAAGACACGGGAGAAAGACCTATGGGAGGTGGAGACGGCTCCTTCACATGGCCAAGAGGATGAGAAAGGCCACCATCAGGCAAAAGAGCCCCATGGCTTCCGAGAGGGCAAAGCCCAGAATGGCGTAGGAGAAGAACTGTTGTTTCAGAGAGGGATTCCGGGCATAACCAATGATGAGGCTCCCAAACGCAGTCCCAATTCCAGCCCCAGAGCCAGCCACCCCTACCGTGGCAGCCCCAGCCCCAATGAACTTGGCTGCTGCGCGCATGTCCCTTGAAATGGCACTGGTTCGGAAGCTGCGGCTGGAAATAAGTGAGGTCAGGGGACGTGGGGCTGCCAGGCAGCTGAGGCTCTCATCTGTCAGTGTCCCTGGTGGTTTTAGCGCCATTGCAGACAGTGATCAGCTCAACAGCTGAGAGGTGCTCCTGACCAAGAAGGGGGTGGAGACGAACTTTGCACAGGCGGACATTTTTAGGGGATGAGGGCCTGTGGCAGGAGAGCTGTTCCCAGTGCAGAGAAGACTGGAATATTCAGTCTTAAAAAGGAAGGCAATTCTGACACATGCTGCATCATGGATGAACCTTGAAGACATTACGTTTGGTGACATAAGCCAGTCACAAAAGGACAAATATTGTACGATTCCACTTATATGAGGTATCTAGAGCAGTCAAACTCCTAGAGACAGAAACTGGAGTGACGGTTGCCAGGGGCCAGGGGAGAAGGAAACAAGGTGGAGTTATTGTTTAATGGATCCAAGTCTCAATTTGGGAAGATTAAAACATGCTAGAGATGCCTGGTGCTGACAGTTGCACAACAATGTGAATGTACTCAATGTGCTGACCTATACATTTTACAGTGGTTAAAAAGGTAAATTTTTTTACGTTTTACCAAAGTTTAAAAAGTAAAACTTGACATAAAGAAAGGAATGAAGTGCTGCTCCGTGCTACCACATGAACCTAGAACACTGCGCTACATGAGAGAATCCAGCACGGAAGGCCACGTATTCTATGACTCCATTTATGTGGAACACCCAGAAGAGGCAAATCCACAGAGACAGACGGTAGATTAGTGGTTGCCTGGTGCTGGAGTTCGGGGGGAGTGGGGCGGTGATGGCTAATGGGTATGAGGCTTCTTGTGAGGCTGATGAAAATATTCTGAAAATGGCAGAGTGGTGAGGGTTGCACAACCTCGTGCATATACTGAAACCACTGATTTGTACCCTTTAAAAGGGTGAAATTTATGGTATATGAATATACATATGGTACATGGTATATGAATATATATGGTATATCTCAATAAAGCTGTCATGAAAAACCAATAAAGCTGTTGTTCAGAAAAGATAAAAGAAAACCTGAGTGACCTGGTAGAGGAGGCACTAAGCATTCCACGGGAAGTTGACATCAGCACCTCAGAAGTCACGGGACGGGCAACACACTCATTTAACACTGCAGTATCTCAGTGCGCAGTGGTTTTAGGCAGTGGGAGTTTGGGCTAATCGGTCCACCAAGCATATAAGATTTCTGAGCCTATTTTCAAGATGCCTTTCCAAATATATGTTTAGGAAGACCCTCCTTTCCCTCCAACCAAAAGAAAAAAAGAACGTAGGAGCAAGGAACAGTCATCTCATCTTGTTACACTCACGCTACTCCCACTGTATGTGTTCTGGTTGTACATGCACATACATCACAGCTAACACAGTGGACACTGTGACTTCAAAACTGTGTATGAGCATCACTGTCAAATATCAAGAATACCCATCGGACCAAGCGGTGTTAAGGCCGCATCCTCTATTCTCTGTCAGTTATGAGCACTGTTTTCAGAGCCTCTCCCTCTTTGCTAACTTTCTTGCTATGTGCAGCTTGGCCCAACACCAGTATAAGCTGACAGTGTCTCTCTCTGATAGTTTGGTGGCCAGGCTGTCTGAATATTTCAGCGTATCTTGTTATTAATCGATTTGTTGATCGAATATATATGGTGCATGTACGGTGTGCCGATTGTATATTAGGTACTGGTGAGATAAAGAACATGGTCTGGCCTTGTTGAGCTTATGCACAGAATGGAGGAGATAGAAAAAAACAAATGGATCCACCAATGACAATATAGTTATGAATAATGGCAATGACAATGAAGACAATGACAAGGGCAAAGGGCAAAGAATAACACGGTGGGTACATAGATGTTCAGCAGGGGCGACTCTGAGATTGTGGTATTCAAGTTAAGACAAAAGGATAAGAAGGAGCCAACCTTGCAAAGATCATTCCAGGTAAAGGGAAGAGCAGGATTGCGTTGTTTTTGTTTTTAAGGTCACGTAAGGTGCAACTATCCACATCCCTGTGCACAGGACAGCTTTGGGTTACAGTCTGTCCCAAAGCTATAGGGAGATCACCCTCCCCAAAACAACACCTCCCTGTGTTCACTTCATTAACTCCCTACTTTTCCTATTGCATTAAATTATAAATCTTTTCCCTACTTTTTGATACTCACATAACCTAGTCCCCACATGTCACACTCCCTCCAATTACATACCATGGACTCATGACGACTCATAAATTACCTGGGAAAGAATCAACTGCCCATGAAATGTGTGCACAAATTTTCTTAAAAATGCAAAATAGGTGTCATCTCCAAGTCTTTGGGCAAGGAACCGGAGAAGGAAATAGCCCTAGAAGAAAGGAAGAAAAAAAAAAAAAGATGTCTATCATGGGTTCACGAAAAAGCTGCTTACCACGCAGCCAACTCTAACTTCTCACCAGCGCTTTCTGCACATAGAGAATGTTCTGTCTGACCTGTCCTGGGCTGAATGGCTACTTTGCTTTCAACCCTTCTGTTAATGGTATCACCATCTGGTTTTTCCTCGGTTTACATGAAGCCTAATGTCTATCATGGACCGAAAGCGAGGAGGGGCCCAGCTCCTGTCTCCCTCAGCTAGCAGGAAAAGCCTTTGCAACGTAAAATACTTCCTTATTCCTCCTGTCTTCTCCTTGGAACCTAACAGCAATTTTAAGATTCGGCTCTCCAAAACCGACATGAAGCAGAGAGAAGGGAAGTACAGGGCAGGGAAACTGATTCATGTCTCATTTTTGGGATATGAAGTGTTTTAAATATTGGACCCTCAGATACCTGCCCAGTAATATGACATTACAGTGTGGATAGTCTCTTTGTTTTGCCCCGGCCATGTTTACATGTTTACATGTATAACCTAAAGAGTGTTGCCCCGTAACAACTGACTTCTGTCGCTTAGATGCTCTTACCTTTAAATAATGAACCTGCATGAAGACCTTCTCGGGATTGAGCCCATGTTTGATGACAGATGATCCTGAGTCACTCACGTGGCCAGTCTTCTCTTTATTGGGTCTAAAATGATGCAGTAAAATTTTGTTTAAGTATGCACATTTTTCAATAATTAGACCATAATATCATCTTATTTCTTATTTTCAAAGTTGCTCAACAGTGTCTGAGGTCTATTCAATTGTACCAGGTATAATTTAAAACAGTTTATATTATAAATTCATATATTGAACAAGGAGGGATTTATATTTGGGTTGGCAACCCGCGGTTGGCTATTGGCAATATTTTACATCATTTTATCCAAGATTAAAGCTTGCCAGACCCTCAAGGAATCTGAGCTGCAATATGAATTATTTAAGAACGTACAGGCTTTTCTTTTGGTGGGAGTGATGGACTGGGAAATGCAATGGAAAATGCAGCCTTACTTGGAAGGGCAAAGAACTAATATCTTTTAAAAAAAATCCTGAAAGCCCCAATGTTATCCACTTCTCTTAATTTGCATTTAAGCAGTTAAGATCTAAGAAATATTTGTACTCTGAAGCCACTTTAAAATATCAAAATACAAAAACAAAAGCCATAGCGGCCCATGTTTTTAGAACAGGTACAGGCCTTACCACCATACACTTTAACTTGTTCATTTCACAAATGAGGGAAACTGAGCCACACAGAAATTAAGACTGCATCCCGGTCTCATAGCTTGTTTTGAGTCGTGGTGACATCAGCATTGAAACCAATGTCTCCTTATTATCTATCACGGTGCTTTCCATTTTGCTCTATAGCTTTAAGTATTTTTTTTTTTTTAAGATTTATCTATTTAATTGAGAGAGAAAGAGAGAGAAGAGCTGGGGTGGGGGGCAAAGGGATAGGAAGAGAGTCTTAAGCATACTCCCCACTAAGCACAGAGCCCGATGCGGGGCTCCATCTCACGACCCTACGATCATGACCTCAGCTGAAACCAAGAGTAGAATGCTTAACCAACCTATAGCTTTAAGTATTTTTAAAAATTCCTTTAAAAAATATAATTGGGTAATAATGAAGCTTCAACAACTAGCTAAAATCAAAATGAGTGGCAACGTACTTACAACTTTCAGCTATTCTAAAACCAGTCACTTACTGGCTCAACAGCCTGAAGAGCATGACTTGGGGTGAGGGGAGGCAAGGGCTGACCATCGGGCTGGCACATCAGAAAGGGGGGATCTTGTTTTTCAAAAGTAGTGTGGTGTTACAAGGTACATGGCCTTTGGAATCCGAGAGACCTGGTGTTGAATCTCAACCCCACTTCTTACTACTTGCTACCTACTGGTAGATGACTTAAATTCTCTTACCCTCAATTTACTCACTTGCAAACCGGAAATAATCCCACCCAACTCCCCAGTTCCTGTGGGGAATAATTGAGATAATATACGCAAAGCCCCTAGCAAGAGCCAGAGCTACAAAAATTACTCAATAAACTTAATAAAATATTCTGAAGTTGTTAGCAATAAATAGGGCTAAATTCAAGGTTGGTCATCTGATGTTAGAGGCAATGAATCTCAGTGGTTCATCCATTTAATCCCATATGCTCACAGACACAAATGTGTCAGGATGCTGGACCCGAATGGAAGTGCCTGAGGATGACCCACCTTGCCAGTTACGACCTTTGCAGTGTGTTCTAGCTGCCAAGCAAGAATCCCTGATTAAGTCTCTGCAGAGTATTCCAGTACATTATCTCAGCAGACAGAAGGCACAGGATCAGCAGATTCCTAAAGTAGAGACAACAACCAGCCACCAGAGCTAACTGCATACTTTCAATTTTTGTGCTTGATCCCTGACTTACATACATGACCATACTTGCAGCAATAACTAGTCTCTTTCATCTTCATTTAAGACTCCATTGAAAAGCACCAGCTTTATTCCTGCTCTCAAGTTTGTCCTGGGACTGAGCGTTTTTATAAAGAAAACCACCCTGGCTTTGATAGGCAAAGCCCACCACCCTCAGCCTTGGCAGGAGGACGGCTTCTCAGAGTTGGCCTACATTCAAACCAGCTTTCCCAGCCCCAAGAGGGACAGACTTGCTGTGAGCTTCTTACACCTTAAGCTTTGTACTGAGACTATCAGAAGGGGAGGGACACAGAGGACCGACGTAAATCCTGGCTCCAAAGGCTGGCTTCTAGCTCAAGTTCCTAGTGACGCCTGTAGTTGGTGCTTTTTTCCCCTTTGCCTAAATATGTCCTTCCAGAAAACATCCCTCTCTTACTTTCTTCTTTCACCTTCTCCAAATGAAGAAGTGTTCGAGAAAATTCTTTTATGCTGACAGCATCCAAGGCAAATACACAAGTCCCCAAGAGATTCCTTTTAAAGTAGACGTCGTGCTGGAGAGAGCAGGGCGCAGGCAAGCTTTATGAGAAATCAAAGGGAGTGGTTTTTACGAGGAAAAGATACTCCATGAGTGGGGAAAAGGTGACTTCCATTTCTGTGCTACTCCAGCCCTCATGATGCAACTTATCCCAGGTCTAGGCAGAGAGACAAAGCACGGAGAGAAAGCAGGGAACAAATCAACTCCCCCATCATGCAAAAACACATGAGTCTCACAGGTGAGCGACAGAAGACACACCCAAAAAGACTACATGCCAATGTATGATTCCATTTAAATAATTATGGTCAAGGAACAAACAAAAGAGACCAATGGGGATAGAGACCAGAATAATGGTTACCCTTGGGGGTGAGTATTGACAGAGCAGGGAAAAGGAGAAAGGTTTCTGAGATGCTGGGAATGTTCTATATATTGATCTGAGTGGTGCTTTCACTAGGATACATAGTAGAAATCCACTGAGCCATCCAGAAATACCTATGTATGTTACATTTCAATCAGAAAGTTAAGAAAAAATAGATGCACGCAAAGCAGTACACGTTTTGTGAGAATAAAAGGGAATCAGTCTAGGAAAGGAGCTTTGCTGTTCACGTGCCCTGAACACAAGATGAGGATTAATGAAGCCCTCTGCACAATGAAGTATGTTTTTTAAATGACGCTGGGAGAGGCAGAAAGAACTGTGGCAGATACCACTGGCTCAGTCCCATTCTCATCCACCTTCTTTCTTGCCTCTTATACTATTAAATCTGAAAAGTGAAATGCTCACTTTCCAAGGGTCCTGGCAGCTATGAATAGTCAGAAGACATGGTCCAGGCCAATGAGACAAAAGCAGATGAGGTGGGGTTCCGGGAAAGCTTTTGCTTTCCTTACGATAGACGGAAGTATGATTGGTAGATGGAGGTACAGCGGCCACCTTGCAACCAGGAGACAGTAAGTCAATATGCTATGTGGGCCAAAATCCATCAAATGAAAGAACGTAGTCTTCAATGGGATCATTCAGCTGCTGGCCAGCTCAAGACTGCCTGCCTTCAAACTTGTTATTGTCTGAGAAAAGGAACTCTCGTTAAGTTTAAGATTGCTTTACTATTCTATTAATTATGGCCAGATTCATTCCTAATGGATGGAGAATTGAACTAATACTATCAGCTACCATTTCCTGTTATCCCCCCATGCCAGGTACTGTGCCAAGCTCTTCTTACGTACCTGGGGCAGGTACTATGAGTACGCCCATTTAAAGCACCGGAAAGTGAGGCCTGGAGAAGGCCACAAAGCTAGTTAGTGGCAGAGTTGAGGCTGGAACCCAGGTCCACGGAACACCAGAGTCCTTGCTGAATGCTGAGGCCTCCCCAAGATCCGGGCCCCCACGGTGGCTGTGTCGAATATAAGTGGAGAAACTGAGACAAGTTGCTTACCCTCCCCGAAGCTCAGTTTCCTCACGTACAGAAAGCGTGATGAGGCTCAGATAATTTGGAAGCACCTTGTAAACGTAAAAGTGTTAAGCATCTCTTGAACATTACACACCAGTGTTTATTTCCTTGGCTGGAATACATGGAATGTGAGAGATCAAGTTACCAAGGTCATTTGAGCTTAAATGCCCTTGGTTTCTGTTGTACCTGGCACCGAATGTAACAACCAAGATTAGCATGACCTTTCCCTTCCTGCCTCCTGGCTTTCCGCCGCGCTCAGAAGCAATATGGACATTTAAAGAGCTGTCAGATAGCAGTGGTATTTGATACACAGTGATTTGACTTAGAATCAAACCTCCTGAAGAAAGGACTGATTCTGCAGGAGTATCACCAAAGGTGGGATTTGGGAAAATGCCTCTGAAATGTGCCCAGGTGTGTCCGCTTGGGTCCGAACACCCACTGCCCCGCCACAGCCCAGACGGGCCGTCTGCCAGCATTCTGCATCTCATACCCCTTGGCCATAGAAGCGAGAGCCACGAGATATCTTCATCTATAAATTCGCTACTACTGTGGTGCCTGAGCCAGAGACTAAGCACCGCAGACATGAGACAGAAAGATGAGACAACATCCCTTCAGCATTTCAACCTGCTTGTCTGTCTATAGTCACAGCCAAATCACAAGGTGTGAAGGGCGGGGAGCAGGACCTCACTCACCCACCATAATGGAGGAAGTGCAGAAACCGGTCTCATGGTACTTCGCTGAGCCCCAAGGGCACATGTGAGACCTACGGGGGGAAGCAACCTCACACACTGGTTAAGAGTTCGGGGTGAATCTTGACTCTGCCACTTAAGTGCCACTTGAGACACCCAACCCCATGAAGCCCGATCCTTCATCTATGGAAAGGGGACAGACAGTGATCATGACCATGACACCTCATTAGGCTGCTGCAGCATCTAATAGCACTTAGCCAGAGTTCCTGTTGGCATCTGGTAAGCACAGCATGAATGCTGCTTTCTGGCCATCATGCATTCCGACTGGACTTCAGGGAATGCCGTCAACCCTGCCTCTGACAGGCGAAGTCCTACATGTTCTCATAAGGCGAAGCTGGGCGAAGAGTACACAGGACCTCGTTTTAGGAACCGCTCGTTAGTCTAAAATCATTCCAAAATAAAAAGTATTTTAAAGAAGACATGGCACATATATGAGCCCTTCCACCTTTTCCTTTGCAAAACCGAATTTTGAGTGTAAACCCTTCAGAGGTTGGTCTTTCAAGCTGCTCCTTGCGGAATCATCAGAAAACAGAAAGAAAC